TCATGTACTGTGAGAGAATAGGCGATACTGTAGGGAGATAAGTTGAGTTTCCACCAGTCTTCAGCAATTAGGTTAGAAAATACTAGTTAAGGGGAGCTCTGGTGGCCTAGTGGCAAGAAGCTGCACTGCAATCCCAGAGGCTCAAGGTTCGAATCCACCAGATGCTCTGCTGAGGAAGGAGGGACAATCTCCTCCTGTACCAGTCAGATCTGATTTGACGGTACACGCACACACACAAATAATAAAATAAAAATTTAAAAAAAATACTAGTTAAAAATTAAGTTAGAAAAACGGAAACAATGCTAACTAGGGAGCATACTTTTGCTTTTTCTTTCAAAACTTGGCTGGAACTTTCACTGATTCCTCCACATGCTTGCTCACACATTGGCTGGGATTAGGCCACAGTGGGAGTCAGCACTAGAAGAATACAGAGAACATAGCTAGCCATCTTTGACCACAAAGTTAAAAACTTTGGCTTCAGAACCTTAAAACAGCGCTTTAGAATCCCTTACCATGAGGACCTGGGGCATGTGACTTATAAAATGTGCTCAATGTATACAATAAGGATAAAAATATATTCCAACATAGGAATATTCTGATAGTGAAAAGACACAAACATACATCGAGAACCCAGTAAAACTTCTGGTATAAAAAAATTTCTCTTAAAAAAATGGAGATTATAAGTAATAATTGTGTTGTGCATTAGTTTAGCCAAGGGTAAACAGTAACTACCAATTGAACGTTCTGATGGCTTTCGACCATTAAATTCTGTACCATTACCAGGTCATGTAGGAAGTCTGTTGGGGAGGTTTTGGCTTTTGAAGGTTTCTGAACCTGCCTTTTCTATGAATTCTGTATGGTCAGGAGCCCACAACCCTCTGTTGATTGTTGCTAGGTGCTGTCTCCTAGGCACGACTCATCCTGCACCATCTTCACCATCCCTGATACTCTTGAGTCCATTTCCAGCCACTGTCAGTCCCCCTGTCATTGAGGATCTTCTCTTTCACTGACCCTCCACCTTTCCAAGCCGGATGTCCTTTTCCAAGGACTGACCTCTCTTCCCAACATGTCCAAAGTATGTGGGACAAAGTTTCACCATTCTTGTCTCCAAGGAGCACTTTGTATCTTCTCCAAGCTGTCTGGTAGTTCTTTTGGTAGTCTATGGGATGTCAGTACTCTTCTCCAACACCACAACACAAAGGCACCGATTGTATCATCCTTAATCAGTGTCCAACTTTGAAAAGCTTAGGAAGGAATTGAAACAACCAAGCCCATGACCTGGATCAGGTGCACCTTAGTCTTCACCATGACATTGCTGCTCTTTAGCACCTTGGAGAGGTAGGTCCTTGTCTTGGTGGGGGGTGTGTGTGTGAGAGAGAGAGAGGGAAAGATGCGTTTGAGAAAGAGATTAGAGGCAACACAAATACAAGGTTCTAACACCGCATACTTCTGAATGTGTTTCAGAGGTCTGAGATTTCTCCTGATGTGTGGAAAATAATATGTGCCTTTTTCCTAGATGCAAAAGGTTTCTGGCTTTCATTAGATTCTGAAAAGATTTCTTAACTAAATACTCCAGTCATCTGGTTTTGGAGCTTGAATTTTAGTATTTTTTTCCAGCCAATGAGTATTTTCAATTCTTACTCTGTTTGCTGGTAATTGTATAGAAAATGCATTGGTTGGTTGGGTTTTTTTAATACCTATTTCCTATTACATTCTATTTATCTTTGATTTGCCAAAGAAAATCCCATTGAATAAATTCATATGATAAACTCAAGCGGTCTCTTTTGCCTGGGACACTGATGATCATGTCAGCAAGAATCTCATGAGCAGATGTTAGGTGAATTTAATAATTTTGAAAAATAAACTTGGACAAATTATGCTCTGATTTCTGAGGTTTTGTTTTTCCAGAGAATTTCAAGTTTCTAGGAAAAGATCTTTATATATGAGTGCTTTCTTTTTCATGTTTTTAGTGACATATTAGACAAAAATATTAGTAGCAAAACCCCAAATAGGTTAGCTGCCCTTTTTTAAGTCATAAGTTGTCTTTTGGAAGACAGACTGTGTCTTCCCCCCACCTTTTGTTGTTGCTTTATTGGCTGTAAAACTTCTGGATCCTGAAGACCATAGCACAAGTGAGGTGGAACGGAGAAAGCTGATTACCTGTGGATACTGGAATGGTTTGGGTTTTTAAAGAGATTTCCTTGGCAAATTTTCATTGATTATATGACAGCACAGCAGAACTGAAACACCCATCAATGTTTTGTTGACAGCTATCATTAAGGAAATAGATTATTCCTACCTGGGAATTCTGGCAGATACTGGGAGATTAGACACGAGGTTAGGAAAAGTTGGCCTGGCACTGATAAAAGATGTGAGAGAAAGGAAGGGGTTTTTCTCCTATTAAAGGCTTTGGAGTGTAGCACAGAACTGAATAGGTTCTAATGTCAGGTGAATGCTGTGTGGTCTAGAAGAAGGCTGACCTGGCCAACTTTGGTGGCAGCAATGAAGACCCGAAGTCATCAGGCCCCTCAGAATCTTACGCTGGGCTTGTGGGTGCTTGGGAGGAACTAGGGGCATGGCCAACTACATGATTTGCTGTGCTTGGTAAAGAATGACAACTTTTGTTCATCATGCCTTTAAACAGATGATAGACGTTTCTCTCCAGTGAAAGACATATTTCTTCTGTTCATATGAAGAATATTCATGAGTCTAGTCATGATTTTGTGGAGGATTCTTTTTTCGTCCAATAGCAACAAAAGAAACATTTGCCTCCCTTATTGCTGAAAGCACGCATGAGTAAAGCACACATGGTAACACAGTAGCTGAGGTGTGTTTTCTCGGGTGAGAGAGGGTGGACTAGTATCTGTCAGAACCAAAAGTGAGGCCTCTTCAGTGTCCGTTAGGTCTCTTCAGTGTCTGTTTCTGGAGGAAGAAGAAACAAACCCTGATGGTGGTGCCCCAGATCAGGCTGTCAGCTCCTGTGATGGGAATAGGATGCTACGTTCTCCCTCACCTTCTGTTACAGAAAGCATTTTTACATACACTGATTTCCACCAGGGGCTAAATAGAGATCCCTCCCAGATCGGAAAGAATATTATTATTCCTTCCATATGGCATGAACACTGTTCCTCTAAATTACTCAGGTCTGAATGCCCCAGCAGACACTTTTATTGTAATCAAATGCAATAAAACACAGAAATTAGTCTCTCCAGTTCAACAGTGAGTTTTCTATTATGAAAGAAGTGCAAATGGGGACTAATAACTTACTCGATACAGAGAATTTCAGAGGCAGGAGAAGAGAAGCAGAACTTTTTTTTCCACTAGGGTTGCAATCTTGTTTTAAAATCTTTTGCATGACAGTGCATTATTATCGATGGAATCTGGTGTGTTCTTAATGGTGGCCATACTTATTATAAAGATAACCATTCCAGTGCAAGTGTTGCATGACTAGACTTACATTTTAAGGACATGAAACACCTTTTAATAATGTGAGTAGGAAGATGTGGACAGCACAATAGCAGTCACAGTCTAACTCACAATCTAACTCATTGCTGTCCAGTGAGACCTAAGAGCTAACCCTACAATGGGTTGCCAAGGCTGTAAACTGTACAGAGGTGGGAGGAAGTTGCCCATCTTTGTCCTGTGGAGCCACTGGGGGATTTGAGCTGCAGAGAGGAGCAGCCTTTGGCTAAGAGTGTAATTCCCTATGGACGAGCCCCCTCAAGTTTCCTTGCTTTTATTAATTGAATTGTTTCAATTACCTATGCTGGCTTTTTGGAGACCCCTTTGAAAGAGAAGAATTGTGCTAGTAAAATGTGGGTTTTGTTCTGTCTTTAAAAACGTCTCCCTGATTGTCTGGTTTTAGAGGTGAAGGCCTGAGTTCTTGTTCTCAATAGTTACAGGTGAGCATTCCCTTCTCCTTTCTTCCTCATAGTACCATATTGCAATATTCCCAGGTTGTGTCATGCCAAGAGGAGACAAGCAAACTAATGCTGAGAGGAGGAAGCCTGAGAGCTGGATGGTAAGGATAACAGAAGAATTGGTGCCTTCAACTGTGAGGTAGGAGAAGAGTACTGAGTATCCCATGGACTGCCAAAAGAATAAACAGATATCTCTTGGAAAAAGTGCAGCCAGAGTGCTCCCTAGAGGCAAGGATAGTGGAGATTGTCTCACATACTTCAGACATTTTGCTAGCAGAGGCAATTCCTTAGAGAGGGACGTAACGGTTGGAAAGGTGGAGGGAGAAGAGAAAGAGAAGCTACAACCAGGTAAGTAGACACAGTGGCTGCAGCAGTGGACTTGAGTGTTAGAGATTGTGAAGGACCACAAGCTAAGACAGCGTTCAGATCTATTGTTCACACGGTTGCTACAAGTCATACTTAGCAGCACCTAACAACCACAATGTCATGCCAACAGTTGCATTCTTGGTGATCCAAACCCAGGATTGGGAGGCTCCAGTTACCATGTGGGAGATTTTGTCAAAACTATGAAGGGATTTGAGAAGAGCAACTAGAGAAATGGCAACAAGCACACTCAAGGCTACAAATGATGCAAGGACGAAATGGGAATAGTTTTCCAGACAGAATCAAGTGAGCTCTCCAAGACACTAGTCATCTTATTCATTTAATCTCTATTAGACTTTCTTCACCTTGGAAGTAGTTATGGAGTAATGATGCTTAAGAATTTTTAAAGTATGTCCTTCAACATAGGCATAGTCACTATAAAAGTAAAATGTTCTGGTATGACCAGTCAGTGGAGCATATCCAGGGAGGTCCCGTGTTCTTGGTATGACTCTGAAGTCTCTTCTCACAGAAGCCAAGCCCTCTTCCATAATAGCTGCCAAGCATTTTCAGTATGGTCTCGAGCAAGCACGCTAGCATATCTGATTTTTTTTCCTTCTGTGATTCCAGTTTGTTAACCTACTTTCTTATAATCATTGACCACTGTTCTCTGTCCAGTAGAAATTCATTATGCCTAAACCATTGGTCAATGTCCAACAGTCATGTTTGTTTTAATCTCTGATGCCGGGAAGAACCATCCTTTCGACTGTATTGATGATTAGGAATCAGCGCCAATTCTTCATTAACTGGAAGGGGGAAAAATAATCAGTTAATACTTTTATGATAACTGAGTGCAATTGGTGATTTACAGTTTGTGAGTGGCTATTACGAGCGTGTCAGGCACTAATTACCTTTAACAAGCTGTAAGGTTGTCTTTTAACATTCACAAAATAAATGAAAATGTTTTCTTTTTGAAGAATTTCTGGGTTACAGTAGCCGAATAACCATTGAAAGAAAAACTGTTCCATGCTAAGTATGTTTTACACTCAGTAAATGACTAGGGAGAACAGGAGAATTGATGCCTTTGAGCTGTGTGGTGCTGGAGAAGAGTATTGAGGGTACGTACTATGGACTGCTAGGAGAACAAACAGATTCAACCTAGAGAGGGTTAAACCAAGCTACTCCTTGGAGGCAAGGATTCTGAGGCTTTGTCTGACATACTTTGGACATGTTGTAAGGAGGGACAGGCCCTTGGAGAGGGACATCATGCTTGGTATGGTGGAGGGACGGCGCAAGAGGGGAGTACCCTCTATGAGGTGGATTGATTGAGTGACTGGGGTAATCGGGAGGGGTGTGTCAGAGGCAGTGCGATTGGCACAGGATAGAGCAGGGTTTAGGGCTGTTGTACATAGGGTCACTATGAGTCGACGGCACATAACAACAACAGTTTAAACAAAGCTTGATGTTATTGACTGGCACCCTGGAGGCATAGTCTGCGGGTAGTTGCACTGCTGACACAGAGGAAGCACCTCCCTGGCAGTTCTCATCCAAGCGAGAATGGAGGGTAATCTGTGTGATTTACAGCCTCTGAAACCAAGGGATGGGTCTGGTTTGAGATGATTCTGACATCACAGCGATAACTTTAAGGTGTTTTGAGGGTTTGTGCATTTTTTGTTTTTTAGTTTGTTTTTTTTTATTATGGAAATAACACTCAACATTTTATTAAATGTGTATTAAGCATGATCTAAAGGCCAGGGTACTCCGTGTGTCACAAATGGTTAATGCTCATGGCTGGTAAATTAAAAGAAGGTTCAGGTGTACCGCAAGATGCAGTGGAGACCACCTTGGCGATCTGCTTATAGGGCAAAAAACCTTATGGGACAAAATTAAACTCTGGTGCACATGGAGTCACCATGAGTTAAGGATGTACTCCTTGGCAATTGGTGTTTTTATTTAATTTTTTTTTTCAAATAGGTGAGGTTCTGGAAATACAGATGTAAGATAAGACTTCTTATCCATCCACACACCCTCATTCCTCTCTCCCTCAAGAAAATGTTTGGGCATTTATACAAACTCAGAAGCACTCATTACCTTTAGTTGCAACCAACTCAAAGATGACTCTCCATTGAGTTTCTAAAGATGAAAATTGTACAGGAGGAGATTGCCTGTCTTTCCTCAGAGTCATCCTGGTGGATGTGAACAGACAGACAGATATAGTCTGAGTTAGCATGGTGGCTCCCTGTGAACTAGTATCTCCAAAACCAAATTCACTATCTTCAAGTAATTTCCAGTCAAGAGTACTGAAGAGCAATGATGTCAGACTGGAGACTAACGTGCGCCTGATCCAGGCTATAGTCTTCACAATTACATGCTATGCATCAGAGAGTTGAACAGTGACTAGGGTAGATAGAAAGAGAATTTATGCCTTTGAGCTGTGGTGCTGAAGAAGAGTGTTGAATATACCATGGACTGCTAGGAGAACAAACAGGTTTGTCCTGGAGAGGCTGAAGCCAGAATGTTCCCTGGAGTCAAGGATCCTGAAGCTTCGTCTGATGTATTTGGGGCATGTTGCAAGGAGGGACTGGTCCTTGGAGAGGGACATCATGTGTGGCAGAGTGGAGGGGCGGCAAAGGAGAGGAAGACCTTTGATGAGATGGATCGATTCTGTGACTAGGGAGGTGGGAATAAGTGCGTTTGAGATGGCTAGGTTGGCACAGGATAGACGAGCATATAGAGCTCTTGTACATAGGGTCGCTATGAGTCCGAAGCAACTCGATGGCACATAACAACAACAACCCTCCATTGGGTTTCTAAGGATGTAAAACTTAAGGGGATAAACTATCCCTCATTCTCCCTCAGATCTGTTAGTGGATTCAAACCACCAGAGACATACACCCTTTGGGTTAGTAGTTTGCACTCTACCAACTACACTCCCAGAGCTGCTTCCTATGATGGTAGATCAGCACAGTGACTACCACAGTGGCATGATGGGGATTGTGAGGATGGTGCAGGACAAGGCCAGGTTCAGGTCTGCTGTTCACAGGGCCATTATGAGTCACAGTTAAGTGACTGGCACCACAACCATACCACCATCTCTCAGTGTACTCTTGTAACATCAACTCTTAGCCCAGGTAGTTTGATCTTTGATCTTGAGTCTTCATTTAAGATCCAGACAAGTGTCCTTTGAGCTCTTCCTGGTATATCAAAAAGCATGACTCTTCAGATCCCACTGCAAAGCCTCATCACACACAACTGGATTGGTTCTAATTGTTACTAATTTTTCTTTTCAGAATTATAATTAACCAGAAACTCTTAAGTTTATAATTAATGGGAGAGATAACATGAATAAAATTGAACCCAGAAATGTTCTTTTTGCCTCTGAAAGCAAATCCAAACAATTTATTCCTTGCCAAGCAATATTTTGCTATGTAATCCAGGACATATGAACCCTCTTTAACCTGGATTTTTCTGGTTCTCCATGACTGCTTATCCCCTTAGTGGGAGAGATGGAGGACAATCACATCTCAGCTCGGTGAACCTGAATATAGAACAGTGATTCTTGATATCATCAAGTTTACAACTCAGCAACCTGATGAACAATAAATGAGAGGCTTGTTCTATTCTGCACCATCCTAGCCATCTTAGTCAAGGTCAAGCCCATTGTTACAGTCACTGTGCCCATTGAAATCATGGAGCCTCTTCCTCTCTTTCATTGACTCTACTTTTTAAACAAACAAACAAATCTTTTTCCAAGCACTTAAGTCTCCTACCAGCATACCCAAAGTGCTGTGTTTTACAATTCTTGAATCCAAGGTGTACCCTGGCTGCATTTCTACAAGACAGTTTCTAATACTTACCAACACTTGTTATGTAGTACACTGAGAAGATCTTAGCATGCACTGTTGCATTTAGTTCATGCAACATTATGAGCTAGTCACCACTGTTATCCTCAGTTTGTAGATTATGAACCAAAATAGAGACAAATGAAGAGGAAGTAACTTGCTTAAAAACACCAAAACTGATGGGTGAATACAGGCTGGCTCCATAGCCCATACCCTCATCCATGCAGTGTTGCTGCCTTCTAGAAAGAATTTCTATTTTTTGTAATATTGATGTTCTTAATTTGTAATGAACTGTGGGTTGGATTAGAAACAACAGCATAGGAGTGCTTTCTTCCCTTTTATTTGCAATTATGAAAGTCTAGTGGAGAGAAGTTGCAATCTCAACTTCACGCAGTTTGAATCCACCTGCTATCCCACAGGTAAAGGATAGGTAATCTTCCATGTGGTTTACCACCTCTGGAAACTTGCTGGAGGGTCAGTTCTGACTCCACGTCACAGAACAACAACAACAACTGCACAATAGGTGCATTCAGTGAGAGACTAGAATACCAACTGTAGAACTGAAAGTGAGTGACCTGGGTAATGAGGCGGAGAGGAGAACTGTGAGAGTGGAAAACTGGAATGCAAGAGCCAAGAGGAAACTCATTAATCTACAGTGAATTATCCATCCAGGAAATAAAGAGCCTGTGCTAGGCATGTGGAGAGCATAAGCCATGAAATCATTTAACCTTCCTGAAAGTTCACGATACGGGCATCAATGAATTTCAGCAGGTCTCTGGAGAAGGGTGTGAATAGAGAATTAGAGAGATAGTCTTGAAAACTCTCAAGTGTGGTGTGGAAAATTCTGCAAGCATTGAAGTGTTCTTCTTAGGTCAAAGATGAAGAAAAGTATTCCTCCTGATTCCAGGTGAGGTCTTTATGCTGAGGAATCCGCATAATTGATGACAGTTACACTTTCTATATAAGGAAATGTGGATGACCATCTCTCAGAGCTTTTCTAAAACAATTTCCTTATTTAAAGTTCTCTATCCAGTTGACTTTCGTCTTGCTGGTAAATTTGTTTGCACCTAAAGGACTCGTATGCTCAATGTATCAGCTGAACACTAATTCTACTTTTAACATTATAAGGGGAGTATGTAAACAGAGAACTCTATGTTTGGAACCAGACAGCCAGGGTTCATGTCTTGTCTCTACCACTTTCTAAATGAATGACCTTGGACAAGTTCATTAATTATTCTAAGATAATTTTAATAATTGTTTTTGTTGTTATGTGCCACTGAGTTGCCTGTGACTCATAGCAACTTTAAGTACAATAAAAAGTTCTGAAACTATCCTGAGCCAGTCTCACTGTCTCTGACAAACCTACCCCATTACCTGAGTTAGTGTATCAATCCATCTCATTTGAAGTCTTTCTCTCCTTCACTGTCTCCACCCTTCCAAGCATGATGTCCCTCTCCAGGGACTGGTCCCTCCTAGCCACATGCCCAAAGTATGTGAGACAGCTTCGAAATTCTTCCATCTAAGGAGCAGCCAGCCTTGTCTCACCCTCTCCAGGGTAAACTTGGCAGTCCATAGTATGTTTAACACTCTTCTCCAACACCACAACTCAAAGGCATTAATTCTTCTGTCATCCTTAGTTATTGTCTAGCTCTCTGACGCATAACATGTAATTGCAAAGACAATGACCTGGATCAGGTGGTGGTGGTGGTAGTTGTTGTTACGTGCCGTCGAGTCGTTTGCGACTCATAGCGACCCTATGTAGAACAGCCCTAAACCCTGCTCTATCCTGTGCCAATCACATTCCCTCTGACACACCCATCCCGATTACCCTAGTAACTGAATCAATCTACCTCAGAGGTCTTCCCCTCCTGGACCATCCCTCCACCCTACCAAGCATGATGTCCCTCTCCAAGGACCTGTCTCTCCTTACAACATGTCCAAAGTATGTCAGACGAAGCCCCAGA